ATAAATACTTTTTTCAAGGCACTGTATGTCTCTGGTTAGCCCATTCATCTGTCAGCCCAGCCCATATTTTTGTTGTTTTTGCATGAGGTCCTCCTTGATATCCATACAAGCTGATCATCTACAATAGGCTGTATACAAACAGATCACAGCAGCCAGGAACTACCATTTATCAGCAATTTAAACAGATTTTTTTTCTTTGTAAATGTCAGTTTTGCAGATGCACCACAAAGGCAAGTTAAGGGCATCCCCTGGAATGTTACTTCAAACCGTTTTGCATTTTTAATGTTGCCTTTTTAGCAATGTTACCATCACTGCTCCACACCAAACTGAATTTTTTAAATATGTGTTTTTCTTCTCCTTTGGTACATGTGCCCCGGCGCAGTGACCAGCCTCTCATGCCATTTATTTGACACTTTTTTGCCTATTAGCCTAGAAAATGGCCATTACTGTTATTTATCATTCGGCTCCTTTTGATTTCAGTGGGGTTCCGATTCAGCACACAAATCTCAGTAAATGTTCACTGAACCTACCTTGAACCAAACCCAGGTACATGCGTCTCTGTAAGCACTGGTGGGCATTTGCCTATACTGTGCCTCTGATCATAGTCTCTATGAACACTGGTACACAGTGACCTATTTTGTACCTATAATTAAAGTCACCAATAACATAGGTGACTAGTTGACTATACTGCATCTCTAGTTGTAACATCCATAAACACTGGTCCACAGTGGTCTATACTACACTTCTCCTACAGGTAGATCAATGAGCGGAATGCAGTCTTAAAATCACCATCGAGGAGATGAGGAGTTGCTTTTTCAAGTAACCATCAGGTTTTTTATTTAAGCCATTGCAGATATGCCGAAAGTGTATCTAAAAACACTGAATGGACTGTGATAAAGAATGTGGTTGTAATAGAGGGGGTTGGTTAACTTTTTACTAAAGTCCACCTAAACACCTGTCCTCTGGACCCTGTTTCCTCACAAATTCTAAGTCATCCTCTGACTCTATCCTTCACTTTTTAACTCATATCTTCAATCTTTCCCTTTCTACTGGAATATTGCCCAACTGTCTAAAACATGCGCTAGTCACCTCCATACTTAAAAAGACCTCACTGGACCCCACCAATCTTAGCAACCTAAGACCCATCTCCTTACTCCCTTTTGCCTCCAAACTCCTTAAACGTCTAGTCTACAACAAGCTGAGCTGCCACCTCATTGAGGATAACCTTCTCGATTCTCTTCAGTCTGGATTTCACTGCCAACACTCCACAGAAACTGCTCTCCGAAAACTCACAGATGACTTACTAACTGCTGAAACCAATGGTCACTATTCCATACTCTTACTCTTGGACCTCTCTGTTGCCTTTGACACAGTTGACCACCCCCTCCTACTCAAAAAACTCTATTTACATGACTGTACTCTCCATTGGTTTGAATCTTACCTATCTCACAGCACCTTCAGTGTCACTTACAACTCTACTTCCTCCTCTCCTACTTCTCTTACCGTCGGGGTCCCCCAAGGTTCTGTCCTTGGAATTCTCCTATCCTTGATCTACACTTCTTCCTTGTGTCAGCTGGTAGCTTCCCATGGTTCCCAATACCATTTCTATGCTGATGACATACAAATCTATCTCTACTCCTCAGCTCACCCTATCAGTTTCCTCACATATCACCAATTTACTAACAGACATATCAGAATGGATGTCACACTACTTCCTAAAACTTAATCTATCCAAAACTGAGCTCATAATATTTCCTCCTCCATGTGCCTCTTCCCCTGATTTCTTGGTCAGAATCAATAGCACAACTATCAACCCATCCCCGCATGCCAGGGTGCTAGGGGTAACCCTGGATTCTGAACTGTCCTTTCAGGTTCACATCCAATCCCTGTCCAAATAATGCCACCTCAACATCCGCAACATCTCCAAAATATGCCTCTTTTTAACCAATGATGCCACAAAGCTCCTAATTCACTCCCTGGTTATCTCTCGCATTGACTACTGCAACTCCCTCCTCATTGGCTTACCTTTACATAGGCTATCCCCCCTCCAATCTATCGTGAATGCTGCTGCCAGGCTCATCCACCTTACCAACCGTTCAGTGTCTGCTACTCCTCTCTGCCAAACCCTCCACTGGCTTCCACTTGCCCAACAAATAAAATTCAAAATACTAACAACAACTTATAAACCCATCCACAACTCTGCCTCCAGCTACATCATCAACCTGGTCTGTAAATATCAACCAAACCGCTCTCTTCGATCCTCCCAAGACCTTCTGTTCTCTAGTTCATGTGTCACCTCCTCCCATGCTCACCTCCAGGACTTCTCCCGAGCTTCTCCCATCCTATGGAACTCCCTACCCTAATCTGTCCGGCTGTCTCCTAATCTATCCACCTTTAGATGATCCATGAAAACCTTTCCCTTTAAAGAAGCCTATACTGCTTCTAACTAGTTAACTGCCTTTTATTTCCTCCTTCAGCTCATCCCCCACAACTATTACCTTTTGCATCACTCAACCCTTCCTCTTAGATTGTAAGCTGTAATGAGCAGGGCCCTCTGTTTCCTCTTGTACCAAATTGTATTGTAACTGTAATGTCTACCTTTATTTTGTAAAGCACTGCGCAAACTGTTGGCGCTATTTAAATCCTGAATAATAATAATAATAATAATAAGATACTGTATATGGTCCTTCCTGCTGTTCTTCTGAAAATACTAGTTGTTTAGCTATCTCTGGCTCCACTCCATTGTAATCATATACCTGTAATAAGCATGCAATAAGTGAAGCAGAATCTGAATACTTGTTGGGGATGACTTATAAAGTACTGCAACCAGAGGGTCAAATGCCAGCCAATTCGTTAGCATGTTTCTAAGGAAGTAAGGAATGGTTGTCCCCAAATTTTTTTCTCCTAACAGGGTAACTTTAATAAAAGCAAAAGTCTTTTGGAATGGACATGTCCATTCTTGAGCTGTTATAACATATGTTACATCAAATAAACATATAGGTGGTTTGCCAACAATGTTTATTATGAATATACAATGTACAATACAGAATGATAGAAATACATGATTCCATATAAAAATAACATATAAACAGAACAGAAAACTCTATTTCCAGTGCAGCAGTGCAGATAAAGAGATAAGGTGGATAGAGTTAATATCCACTGTCAACACATAAAACGCACAATACAAATAAAAAACATATATTTATCTTGAAACTAAAACATGCATATGTGGGAATCAGATTTAATGACAGTAAGGCAATGTAGCATTCAAAGACCAACAGAAACCATAATACTCAACCAGATAATTAACTGACTTATGTTACAATATGTATAAAATGAGGTTAAGGATATAGAGAGCTATATCATTTTAATACCATCCTAACTTTTTTCATCACCCAGTTTTCCAAAAATCTCATTAAATATTTTTTAAGCTAACAACCCTATTCACTAAGCTATAATGAAAATGTATCTTCTGAAATGATCATTTTCACATGACAGTTATTTTCAGATCACATTGGCTCTTACAGTAGAAAATAAGAGTTTTGCAAATGAACAAATAAAGGGGCACATGCAAATCTTCCAAAGCTAAGTATTCAGAGGTCTATTAATTTAAAGGAAAACTATTGTGAAAGAAAGCCAGGGCCTGCTTCTGCTCAACTCCCTTATTAGCTTCCTAGATGCCTATTGACTTTGGGACTTGTTCGAACCCCAATTTCAGCATTTCGGATGGCTTTTGCATGTGCAGTTACTCATATTTTCATATGTTTTCAATGCAGTCCAGTGCTTTTTTAATTCTGACACTTGAAAATCCTTATTTTCATTAGGCCAATGTGCATTTTGGTGGAGTGTACTGCAATTACACATGTTTTGATGCATTCTGGAGAAAAAAAATTCAGAAATTTTCCTCTTATTGAAAGCACTGGAACTAACCACATGAGTGTGAACTAGGGCTATTGGAATACATGTCAAACACTTTGTATGCAGTATTAAAAACACATTGGTAAACATCTGATGTGAATTAGCTCTTAAAGAGTAAATACAAAAAAAAGACTACTAGTCCTGGACCTATTACAATTTTGGAGAGAGGAGTGGTAGCAAGATCGGTCGAAAACAGGAGTGGGGGAGGTTGGCAGAGCTGTCATCACAACCAGAACCAACTGTAAGGAAAATCATGGCGTCATGAAATAAGGTGAGTAATATTGTGTGCTAGCTGGTTCTCTTGCAAGCAATGGACTCCTCATAATTGGACAATTTTGTTTTTCTTTTAATGTGACCGGAGCTGGGCTTCAATAATATCTAACACAATGCCAGGAACCAGCAAGTGAATTAGAAAGCTCCTAAATAGGTCAGAACTTTTGATTAAAGCCAGTGTCTCAAAAAATTTAAGCCATTGGATCAGCATGACATCTAGGCAGCTAGCATTTTTTTGGAAGAGAAGTCAGCAATGACATCCTTAGAGCCTCTCACTAAAGGTTTCTTTTAACATTGAAGATTCTTATTCTTTAATAAGCTCAATCAGTTGGTCAGTTGCCCTCTTGATGGAATTCATTGACCAGCGCTGTTTGAATTACTCTCACCCTGAGGAATCTGGCTGTAATGGAAAACCATGAGAATATTTTGTGTATTACAGAAGACTTAAAATTAAAGGCTTATAACATTGGGAATTGTAGTAATGGATAAATTTGTCTTTGGCAGTAAAAGAGGATGAAAGAAAAAATGTTGTGTCAAGACTGAACACAGCAACCAGTCAGATTATACATTTATTTCTGCAAACTGGAAAAATAACAGCTGGTTGATTGCTATGGACATTACACACAAGGCATTTTAATGTTATAGTATCACTACAACCTTTGCAACCTTATTGTTGTTCAACATCATTTTAATGTCCACATTTTTAATTCAATTAGGAATTTGTTTTTGAAAATATTCTCTTATTAATGAGATGAACAGAATAACCAGAATGAAAAGTCATGGCTATCCTTAGGCCTCAGTTTCCTGGATCAGACTTTTTCATCATTTGATGGGCTTGTGGACACGGACTTTAGAGGCTCTAACTCCTCTTCCCTTGCCTTTTCTTGAGCTCGGGAAACCCAATGACTCCATCCTGAAAGGTAATGATATGAAATGTTACATTTCTTGTGTAATGTATTTTGTTAAACTTTTCATAATGAAATGTTACATTTCTAAATATAGTGCTGAGCTTAGTTCACACCGAATGCGACTTTGAAACTGTGCTACTTCAGAGCGATTTCAAAGCTGCTGATCAGTGCAACCACATGTGCGGCTTGGCGACATTTGTGTGACTTCATGCACAGATGTCAATGCAAGTTTCACAAGACATTGCAAAAAATAGTTCAGGAACCTTTCTCAAAGTCAGTGCAAATCAGAGTTGCACTGACTTTGAATGGTTCCATAGCTAGCAATAGGGCACGATCTGTCAAGTCACATGACAAGTTGCACCGGTGTGAACCGGGGCATTAGAAAATGAAACAAAGTTGTAAAATGATGTGTTGTTAATAATATTTTCCTCCACATGGACTGCCTTTCCAGGGTCTCTAGAATGTATATACTTTTGAATTATGGTACCAATCCAGGGAACAAGATAAACCATAAAGGTACCAATGTTTTAAGGAACACTGAATCTGTGCTAAAATAAAAAATTGACTTGACTCACCCTACACTGAGGTCACTGTAATGCACTGAATCCACAGCACACACAGACCACCTTACAGGTCCAGTACAAAGGCAATAGGGTGTACTTCCTGATGCCTGGGCTGTGTATGTTCCTCTCTCTCTCTATATATATATATATTTTATTTATTTCAGGTACTTATATAGCGCTGTCAATTTTACACAGTGCTTTACATATATATTGTACATTCACATCAGTCCCTAACCCTCAAGGGGCGTACAATTTAAGGTCCCTAACTCACGTTCATACATACACATACTAGGGCTAATTTAGACAGGAACCAATTCACCTACCAGCTTGTCTTTGGAGTGTGGGAGGAAACCGGAGCACCCAGAGGAAACCCACGCAGGCACAGCGAGAACATGCAAACACCAGGCAGGTGGTGCCGTGGTTCGGATTTGAACCAACGACTCTAGTACTGCCAGGCAGAAGTGCTAACCATTTAGCCACTGTGCTGCCGTACATATGTATATATATATATATGTACATTGCCTACCAGATTAAGGCCTAAGGTTAGACAAAATAAAAAAATCAGTACAAGGGACACATGTTACTATCAATCCAATGTATCCCTTGTGTTGCTGGCTCCTCAATTCCCTGCAATGTTCACTGTCTGATGCACCCAACTCTGCACCGCTGTAATCTTCCTGTGCGGTGGGATTAATAATATGGAGGGAGCTCTGACAGGCACTCCTCAAGATTGCCCAACTGTACCTTCCCTATCAGCTCAGCTCCATCATTCATAAACGCCATAACTAAGCCTTTATAAGTGAAGAAGAAATTATGAATGGAGGAGGAGGACCTATCAAGCATCTGCCCGTCATCCATTCATGGGCATTGGAGGATGAAGATTTTAAGGAATCCAGGAGCCAATAGCACAAAGGATTTGTGGATTAACAGTAAATAATGTTCCTTAAACTGATAATGTTTTTTTTAATTTTTGTCTAAACTAAAGCTTTAAGATGATTCTGAAATCATTTAGAATTCATTGGCAGGTTTAAATGAGCACAACTGACCTCTTCCTGACCACATTTGACATCAGATCTGAAAGTAACAGCTGTATTCTGAACTTTGAAACTGTGAGTTATTACTAAAGTCAACTTCTCTTTACATAACTGTTCAATAAGCACTAAATGGAAGCTTATAATGACATTGTCACCTTGCCCATTCAGTGTCGATTTAAAGGGGCTCTCAGATCCATGTATACTCAAATTGCCAGCACTGTGCCGTTCCTTCTTTCATTATGGTAAGCACTAAAATCAGCAGTGTTGACAGATGTCAGATGCTAGGGGGAGCAATGGAGTCACTCCCTCTGTCAGTTGACAGTACGCAGTGGTTGGTTGTTAAACCTGAATACTGTCACAAAGGAGAAGGTCGTAGGGCACATCCTCCCCCTATACCCAAAAGCACTTACACCTATACTTTAACAAACACAAAAAATATTAGCACTCTGTTAAGACTACTATATCACTTTTTGAATTTTTATTTCAATTCAACTAATTAAGTTTATGAAATATTAAACTTACTTTTAAATAATCATCATCAGTATGATCAGGATGTATATTTAGGCTACAAGCTCACCTATGATGCAATATTAACATAGCAACATAGCAATGCAATGTGAGTATAGGATGTAATGTCTTAATCTTCTTACCTTTGGGTCGTTTATAAAGCTTATGTGCATTTTCTTTGTCTCCAGGCTCCTCCTCATTAATGCAGGACATATTCTCTCCAAATGATTCCCACTGTATTTCTTCCACCCTGTAGTGCAGCAATATAAAATATATCATTTATCTGATAGTTCAGAGAATAGTTTCTAACAAAAGATAATATATTTAAGTATTGCATGGTTAAAACTAGCAAAAACCTGTTTGTTGAACAGAGGAAAAGAAGTACAATTGTTGAGGATGGTTGGCAGTTGAACATGGGCTTTCTGGGAACTTAGTCATCTATTTTTACTAGATGTGGATCACATAGAAGCTGCGACCCCCTCCAACTGTCACATGCACTTTGACACTGCTCATTTTGTTCTAACTGTTATTCAGTGCATAGTGAATAAGGAGTTTTATTTGGCCAGCAGTTCAATGAGGGTCCTTAACCATTTCCATACCGGGCAATTTTATACCTTCCTGCCAAGGCCATTATTCACGTTTCAGCGCTCTCACACTTTGAATGACAATTGCGCGGTCATACAACATTGTACCCAAACTAAAATTTTATGATTTTCTTCACACAACTAGAGCTTTCTTTTGGTGGTATTTAATCACCGCTGGGATTTTTATTTTTTGCTAAATTAACAAAAAAAGACAGAAAATTTTGAAAAAAAACACGTTTTTCTTTGTTTCTGTTATAAAAGTTTGTAAATAAATAATTATTCTTCATAAATTTAGGCCAAGATATATTCTGCTACATGTCTTTGGTGAAAATAACCCAAATTAGGATGTATTTTTTAGTTTGTAGGAAAGTTAGAGTTCACAAACTATGGTATGGATCTGAAAATTGATCAATCCTGAAGTACTGACAGCCAATCTAATTTCTTGAGGTCCAAGAATGTCAGAACAGTACAGATATCACCCAAATGACCCCTTTTTGCAAAAGTAGACAGTCCGACGTACTTCATAAGAGGCATGGCGAGTTTTTTGAAGTTGTATTTTTTTGTCATAATTTTTCAGAAAATTAAAAAATTAAAAAAATTATTTTCACAATTTTTTTTTTACATACTGTCACCAGTGCAGTACAGCATCATCATATAACTGGCATGGCGGTGAACAGGGACACTGACTGGTGACAGTATGAAAAAAAAAAAAATATTTTTTATTTTTTTTTATTTTTAATTTTTTATTACTTTTTTTTTTTATTTTTTTTAAGATTTTTTTTCATATTTTACTATGACCAAAGTAGTACAATGTTACCATAGTAACATTGTACTACTTTGGTGAAGTGATCAGTATTTTTTTTTTTTTACACAATTTGCTTATAGCAAAGAATTACTTTGCTATAAGCAAGCATTTACCAAAATGAAATCGATTCATTCAGGTTTTTTTTTTTTTGTGCTTAGCTGTGATTTGGCCACAGCTAATCACATGACATGTGCATGTGACCTGCTGTGACCATTCACAGCTAGGCACTAGTATACAATGGATGGCATTAATGAAGCCATCCATTGTATACAACTGTCATGTGACCTGCTGTGATTGGTCACAGCAGGTCACATGGTACCGGCAACGGGGGCCGGTACTCAGATCTGTCATCGGCCGTGTCCGAGGTACACGGCCGGTGACAGATCGCGCCGCTGCGCGGCTCTGCAACCGCACGGCTCTGCAACCGTGCGAACTGCGCATGTGCAGGAGCATGCCAAATGGCGTGCACCCGGGAAGGTGAAGCATTTTTGCTGCCGCCAAACGGCTATATGCCGGGCGGCTAATGGTTAAAATTGACCTTAGATGAGGGGCACTGCCATGTCCATTCTGGTTTCCAATGGCATTGGAAATTACAGATGGCTTATTCTGTAGCAAGGAGCAATGTTCAAAGAGCTATAACCTATATCAACCAATTAGATTTCATATTACCATTGCAAGTGACTTAATGATTAATATTTGTGAATTTGCAGAACACAACTCCAGGATTATATTAAATATGTCTTTGATAGTTGAGGAAAAGGTGATTGCTATAATACTAGAAATATATTACATGTTTGATGATAGTTGGTGTGCGGTCCTTTGCATGCCTTTATCCAGCCCTTGAAGCATTATTCCTGCCATTGACACCAACTATGGGGTATAATTTCTTCCACTGACACCACCAATTGTACACTATTCCTCCCACTGACACTAACTATTTCTCCCCCTAATATCAAAGATCAGGCATTGTTTACTCCCACTGGGTGCAACCAACCCCCCTAAAGCCTAAAGGACTATAAAATGGCCCTTTCTTTGGAAAGTTTGGAGACCCCTGACAGAATAATAATAGAAGATGATGGTGATTATAATAGCCTACATAGTAAAGGCTAAATGTTAAAATATACAGAAGGATACAATAATAATAAACGGTAATTGGGGGTTCTAATTATTTTTTTTTGTACAGTGCACATGAAAGGTAGCCTCTGCTTAAGCAACTATTATCCCATACCTAGTCTGACTTGCCCAAGTTTGTGAAGAGTTTAATTTAGGATAGAGTACTTTTCAACCCTCTTCCCATAATTAGCTGAGCAAGTGAAATATCTGTAACAGAGATGTGTATATTCCATACACAGTGTTTTGTGTGCTGAGAGGTGTTTACAGTTTTAAAATTGTCCTCCAGTCTCTTATACTTCTTGGTCTGCCTCATGAAGTGGCCTACGGACTTGAATGCCTGGCTTGTCCACATGCCATCATTTCTGAGTGGGATTCCTCTCTTTGTTTTAATTAATATATAATTAACATTTGCTAGAACATAGCAGAGTTAGCTGTTTCCTACCACAGCAGAACAATAAAACTCTTTGTCAATAGGGAGAATTGATCCAATAAGAGATGTTGCTGCTAAAGTACCTAAAACTCCATCACATTTCCTTCAGGTCCCTACTGTCAGGAGTCTTCTGAAATTATCGTCAATGCTGTTGTATCCTTCAGCATCATTTATCAGCCCTTCCAATTTCCATCAAAATCAATACAGGCCATCACTCATTTCCTCCCATGCCCACAGCAATTTCACATTGTTAAGTTTAGCTTGAGCAGCCCAATGTCTTCGGTTAATAATATGTGTTATTTTTTTTTATCTTACCTAAAGCACCATCTTTTATCTAGCTTTCCGTCAGGTTTTGACCCCACTGTAAGCAAGCGGCCTGACCTAAACTTTTCCCTAAGACGCTTAGGCAGGAACCTCTCAATATCCAGGATTGTTGCTGCTCTCTGTGAAATAATAACAAAAAGTTTACTTTTTTCATTGACATACAGTATAGTATGTATTAACAAAATACAGAATAAAAATGTATTAATGGTGCCAAAAGCAATAGCAAATCTCACAGATCTTAGCAACTGAGCATAAAACAATGCATACTTGTACCTAACACAACACCTCTTTGTTTATATGTATATGATTTATGTTTATATGTATCCTTTTTTTAGTTTGAAAGAATGCGGGGAAGGGTTAGAAACTCCTTCGGGTTTCTATTTCAGTCTATGTCCAAGCTGGATGGATTCAACCTCTCTATTTGTCTTACTGACAATTGTCATCAAAATTGAAAATTTTCAGTAATTACCTGAACAAAAATAGAAAGGACATCTTTCTATGAGCACACTTTTTCCAGTGACAATTGTCTAACCCTCACTTTGGAGAGTTTTCTTTTCTCTTCCATATAGGAAGTATATGTTAATCTCCCCAGTTCAACAAAAATAGCAAAAAAGTTTTGACAGGGTTCTAACTATTCCCTACTCTATCAAAAACTAAAAACGTTTTGGATATACCTTTTAAGGATTAGAACACTTTTAAGCAAATGCAATTTTACTCTTTGCCCCCTCCCCAGCCTAAAGCAACTCACCCTTCCCCTCTCCATTTACTTACTTTCATTCTGCAGCAGTTTTCACAAACATTATCTGTGCTGAGCAAGCAGATCCTTTAGAAGTTAATGGGGTCTACATAAGATTTTTGCTAATTATATAAACATTGCAGGAGCCCATGGGATGAAGGTAAATATGCAACTAAGAAAGGGTAATTTAGGTCAGGGGCAAAAAAGGATAAGTGCATTTTGTTTAAAAGTGCACTTATTATTTAAGTACTATACGGCTGGCTATAATTATAAATGTGCAGATGTGGTTTTGTGGTATAAAAACAGAAGATTACAGGAAAGACTGCAAAGAGAAAAAGAAGTGCAATTACAGAGAAAAATGCAAAGCTATGAATTTTATTAGATTTGTTCTCCCAGAGATGCGATTATCTGAAGAACCGTGGTGAAATCAGAGAAGGGACACAGGGTTCACAATGAGGTCTCTCTCTCACATTAGGTTTTGGGGGGGGGGCGTGGCAATTACAAAAACCGATCCTTTATATGGCTCTCCATGCTGTAGCTAAAGACTGGCTTCTCCTTTCCCTCCTGCGGCTTTCAGCAGCTGCATGGACAGCCATACATGGGAACAGTTCTTGTGTCTGACCCCTTCGGCACGTCAATCACCCCCTCCTGTGCACTATCGGATCCCCCTCTGCTGCCCGAGCCCCCCCCCATATGGGTTAGAGCCCTGATATTTTACCAAAGCCCCCCCCCAAAAAAAAAAAAAGCTTTGTGAACAAATGTAAAAACAAAATAAAAATTGTAACAGATGAAAAAGTAAAATTATTTACAAATGTAACAATAATTAACAAAGTAAGGGCTCATTTGCATGGGCTCTTTGGCCCATACGGTGTGAATGAGCAATTTATTTGTGGGCCTGAGCTGTGGAGGCTGGTAGTGGGGGCAGTTCAACTTTTGCATCGGCCCATAATCTTCAAGCTACACCTCTGCTGCTAACATTATTTCTCTGTGTGCCGGTGGGAAAATGGAAAGGATCTCCCACTGAGTGGCCGTGCTTAAAGAGAAGTGTGGAAGCACTTCTCTTTCACTCTGAATCTGCTCCCAGGGAGATGATGTCCCCGGGAGAGATCAGGAAAAATCTCTTCTCTGACTGGCAGAGTGCTGCAGTGTTGAGTAGTACTGGCTTAACAACCAAGCAGGATGCCTGGAAGAAGCTCACATGGCCAAGCTCCCCAATAGGTTGGAAAGCCAGTATCACAGGATTTATGCAAAGTGAGGCAAGAAAATGATGATGGGGTGTGAATACCAGATCCTTTGCCCCCATTTTCCCTTCCAATTTGTTCCAACCGGTATTTAAGTTCATGCAGAGGCAGTGCAGGTAGTATCAATGCAACATGTGACCTTTTTCTTAACTGCCTAGTCTTTAGATTGTCACCAATTGTGTTTATTCACTAAACAGATAATTATGGACAATTGTCAAGTTTTATATATGTATATGCATGTGTGTTTCATCATTGGAGTGCAATAGGCTGCACACACCTATGCCTGCCACATTTCCAGTGGCAAAGTCAAGATTTGCCTGGGAATAATTTTTCTTCCGTCTCCCACTGAGATTCTGTTTTCTGCTTGATGCGCATGATTGCAGTTTGTCTCTTGCCTTCTGCCCTCACATTTTCTAGTCAACTTCTTGTAGACCATGTTCTTCAGACACTCCATTCTTTGCACGCACTAAATGCTTGTCTGTACAAAGAAACCACAGATCTTGCAAGAATGTGGAAATAAAAAAAACTTGACATCCCTTTTTCCTCTGTAGGCTGCACCCAGTTCCCTCCAGACTCAGAGTCTGTCATCAACACCAAAGGCAGAAGTGACACAAAAGACAGTCAGATTGGGAGCAGACAATCATCAGTTGTGGGTTAGTTCAGAAGTGTAAGAATTTTAAACAATATTACTGTATCATATTGTGTGGTCAGAACATGGGAGTGATGACAAGTAATGTTCTGGCTATGTTTGACTTAGAGAAATCAACCCACCTGTAATTTCCATACGCTCTTGCTTTCATTAGAGACTTTATTGACAGTTTCACTCATCAAAGCAATGAGCATGTTCAGGAGAAGAACATAGGTGAGTACCACGTACAAGATCAGCAGAAACATGAAAAAGTGCTTGAACTTCAGGTTTTCATTGAACTCCAGGTCTCCCATGCCAATAGTAAATTTGAAGAGCTCCAAGGTAGCGCTATAAAGCCCTGAATATGAGGTTCCTGCTTCATTTTGTTCAGAATCAGTGCTATTCTTATCCTTCTGAGGGGCTTCTCCAATAAGTGTTACCAAAGCTGCAAAAAATATGTGTCTTATGTCATTTATGTTTAAAATGATACAAACATGATAAAAAAAAATTAACTGTTCTGTGTTATTTCACATTTTTGTCTAAATATTTTGATGCTATCAATAAAATGTCTACTTCTTTTGTAATATTTTCATGGTAAAATTCAATATAACACGAGAAATATTCAACAGTGACAGCATGCACAATGATGCCCCTGACAAAAATTACATCTGTAGACCTCCCTCCCTTTGGGGTAGAATTAAATTGTGGAGTTTATTGAAGTGTATTCCACTGGAGAAATTTTTTTATATATATATATATATATATATATAATTTATTGATATGTTTTAGTCACAGAAAGGTTCATCTTGAGTTTCACTTTTAAACTCAACCTCAGACAAAACTTTTTTTGCTCTTGATAGATAATTGGGAAAGCTTAGAACCTGCATTTATTTTCTTTACATTTTTATTTTGTGAATTCACCTTGTCCTGGACTAAAAGGCCAAGAGTGACACCTACTGGTTACAATGAATAATAACAATGAAGAGTAAGCATGGAATTGCATGGCATTTTACTTTTAAGAATAAAGCAATATTGTAATAAACTAACACGTCATTGTTTCCTTAAAATTATTTTGTAACTATATTTCTAAATAGAATTTCCCAGTATATGATAAATACCTGCTGAAAAACCAAAGAGGAAGACTAGGTAGACGAAGAGGAAGCGAAGCATGTCACGCAGGATGGTCTGTAAGACAATAGTAACCTTTTTATTACTCTTTTCACCCTTTATGCAAGCATTTTTCAATGTTTGTTATTACTGATTTTTATTTACATGTATACACATTTTTTGTAATCTTTATTTCTTGTTTTCTATTACATATATGTCCAAAAGAAGTATATACATTTTTCAAACATTTTTCAAAAATTAAAAAAAACTGCCCCTTATCCAGAAAACTAGGGCAACAGACACATGTGTTGGAGTTGCCATATTGTAGGGGAAACAAGTAAGCAGCTCTCTGCCATACTATCACCAGCATGAATGTCTTTTAGCACTGGAGATTGCTTTGAGCTGGGTGTTCCTCCTAAAGCTTCAAGCCTCATGCTGATGGATCTGGGCTGTTTGACACCACCAGTGGGAAAGTGCTGACAGGATAAGGTTTATATTCCACCATCCTGTCCCCATCAGGAAGAAGGCTTCTATCAAGTAAGACCTTTTGGAGGTCCTATGGACTTCTAGCCAGTTCACCATTCATGTGGGTGCATGGGTGGGTGCTAAAAATAATACAACACTTAAAAAAATGTTTAGTGCTGTTAATGTAGCTGTATTTAGCTTCTGAGATTGATAGTTATACAAATGTGTCCATTGCAGAGTTTTTCCTGCCGTCTTGATTCCAAAAAGGGTAGAAAGGCTTTCCCATTCCTCCATTCACAACCTTCAGTATTCCTTGCATTCTAACAGCACAACAGTTGAGGAGTGTCTGGAGCTCTGGAGTAAAGTTCTCCCAGACTTTCTTGTGCCAACAAGGACTGTAAGTCCATATACAACATTAATCTAAGTATTGGAAGTAATATATCTAACATCAAAGTCATATGGAGAAATGACAAATATAGATTTACCATCAATGATGTCAGGTTGGCCCAAACAAACTATTTGAAGTTAAAGTACACCAGGATTTGGGCTTTAAAGCCAATTCAAAGTCTCACACTTTGGGGGTTTTCCTTGGGAAAACTCCAAATATTTTTTCACTCAGTGAATATGTTGCTTTCTACAATAACATCCACAACCTCCAGTCCAAATGTCCTGATAGACAGTATTCCATAGTAGGAAAGGAGATGTATGTGATCAGGTATTTTGCTGAGTGCTGACATTTTAGTACATTGACTATATCACCGGTGCCAATTGGACTACACAGTCATATCTATTCACTCTACATAACTAACAGAAAGAGAAGTGGTGGTTGTTAGCATAATGTCTATCTGAATGCATATTTATTTTTGTGACTTTAAAGGATAAGTTCACAAAAATATTTGCAGGTAAAAAAAATCTGCCTTTATTTTTTTTTTTTGGGAGCCTGTAACTCAGTGCACCCAAGATCAGTAGATCATAGGTTCAATGCCAGGATCTTGAAGACTGTCAGTACACTGTGTGCCTGTACCTCCAATATGGGCAGGCAATGACTGCAGTCCGGGAAGCTCAATGGACTATGAGAGCACTCACCAGTGTCCACGCAGTACATTAAGAACTACAAGCTTTCAGCAACAAAGGCTGATGGTACTTGTAGGCATTCATTCACACAACTGTGAATGAATGATGCAGCAGTGCTGCATTTTTTTTTTATTATGACAGCAGGCACAGGGAGGAGAACCCCCACACTGCTGTCACAGGGAGGGGGAGAGGCTGCAGCTGCTGAAACATGTTACATGCTACACCCTAAAAACAGATGGAACATGTAACTTGTTCCAAAAGATAAAATTATCCTTTAACTGGGCACTTATCAAATCAGAGGCCAGGTGTGGAATTACTACAGTATTACCTGTAGTCGGCCTATGCCTATATGAGGCAGAGACAAAGAGGAAGTTTTAGCCTCTGTAAAAGTAGAAGATTGCATGTATTTTCCAACAGAGGGCAGACAAAGCTTGGAAGTAGCAAAAAATTAAAGCAGAGTTCCACTCACGCTGCCAAACAATACAAGTCAGCAGCTACAAAAACTGTAGCTGCTGACTTTTAAAAAGCAGCCACTTACCTGTCCCTCAGTCCCATGGTGTGTGTCATGCATCCCATTTCACCGGCCGTCCTGTATTCCATGAGGCCAGCATTTTCAGTGTGGGCACCCGGCTGTGATAGCTTGCGGCTTCACAGCCGGGTACCCACTGCGCATGCACGAGTAGCGCTGCGCTTCATGAATGGTCCTGTAGTCTTCTGGGACTTGTCAGGTGTCCCAAAAGACTGCAGGGAGGAAGGAAACCTTCCGCCTCTGATCGCCTAGGTCATCGGACTGGAAGTGGGAGCGGGTACCTGTCAAATTCAGGTTACTTGGTTACGGAAGAGTTTGGTGGCAAACTAAGGTCTCATTTACACATAAATTCACCTAGTTATTAAACTCTCCTGGGAAAACGCTAAATACAGCAAAAACACTTGTAAACGCGGTACCGGGTTTACCTGCGTTTAGCACTTGGACATTTATTCATTTGATTGGCCAGACTATTTTCCATTGACATAGATAAATGCCCAAGTGCTAAATGCAGCTAGCGTACAGCCGCGCTTAGATGCGTTTAGCAGCGTTTACTTGCGTTTTGGCCACGTTTAGCGTTTTTTGGCCAAAACGTACCTCTCCTGAATGACTGTACATGGACACATAGGTTTTTGTTGAGTTGAGTTCAGGGGCTTAGGCAAAAAAATGCCGAAAGCTCCTGAACTCACATTTAGTGGCAGCAGTGTACATGAGGGTTTATTTGCTAAATGAATATAGTGTGTTTACTTAGCTTTGTAAATACGGTAAATTTGGGTTCATTTCACTCAGCAAATCATGTGGAACAATCTTTACTTTCATATATATATGTGTATAAGTGACCTAAGTGAACATTCATATAGTAAAGTGAACATTCTCCACTCATCTCCCAAATAGTTTTCTAATATACATAGTAATAGATGTGCCCCTCTTATATCCTAATCTGTAATCATAACAGGTGAGAAGAGTAGGGACCATTTACTAATAGTGTGGAGTCTGTACACTTAGCAAAGTGAATGTTCATTTAGCTTAATAAAAAAGTAAACATGTACATCGGCAGTTTCAAGGGGTATAACGGGATGATGCCTGCAGCAGGCATCACCTCAGTATTGTTTTTCTTTGCTTCTAAAAGCAATCCTAGTGGCTAATTATCAGCTGTATTGCTTTTACAGGCAGTGGAGGGGAATCCCTCTCTGTGTTCTCCTGTCCCAGCGGGGAGCCTGGCACAGAAACCAGCAGCTCGGCCGGCTTGCCATAGAGTAGACTGGGGACTGGAATGTCCCCGATCATCTCTATGGTATAGACAACGCCAAGTATTTTGACACTTCCGGTTTCAGCTCCATTTTGGTGTGTTCAGATGCTTTTGAGGGCTCCAATGTTGGTGTGTTCAGATGCTTTTGAGGGCAGAGGAGACATCTGGGGTCTAACAGACCCCAGATATCTCTATAAAAAATAACCTGTCACTGCCTATTGTTATAACAAGGGATTTTTACATTCTTTGTGACAGCAATAAAAGTGATAAAAAATATTAGAGATGAAAAAAAAAAATAGAAATAAAATAAATAATACTACAAAGACAAAATAAAATGTAAGTACACCATCTCTCCCGTGATCCTGAGCAAAGGCCAAAGCATGCATTGGTCCCACATGCAGGGCTGCTGTTAGAAATCAAGAGGCCCCCATACAGCCTACCAGACGGGGGGGAAGGAGAAGGAGGTGAGAAAGAAAGGGGGTAAGAGAGATGGGGTGTGAAGGCTGCCAGCTAACTGAGCCCCCCCCCCCAGTTAAGTGATGTGGCCCGGGCTCCCTACAGGAGGCCTGATGGTACCCCCTTATCAGCGGCCCTGCCCACATGTATATGTAAACAGTGATTGCACCATACATGTGAGGTATTGCCGCAAACGTCAGAGCAATAATTCTAGCACCAGACCTCTTGTGTAATTCTAAACTGGTAGCGTATAAAGATTTTTAAAGTGTTGCCTATGGAGATTTTTAATACGATAGTTTGGCACCATTCTATGACTGTGCACAATTGTAAAGCATGACATGTTGGGTATCTATTAACTCGGCATAACACCATCTTTCATATCTTTCCGAAAATTGGGTATTATATTGTGTTTGTGTGCATTAAAATTCATTAGAGTGTATTCCCAAAAAATTGCATTTGAAAAAACGCAATGCAAATGCTGTTTTACATAAATATTTGCAAAACCCACCATTATATTCTGTAAGGCCTCTGTTTTTAACAAACATATAATATTTGGGGGCTTTAAATCATTTTCTAGCAAAAAAATGATGATTTTTACATGTAGGAGAAGTGTCAGAATAGACTTGGGAAGTAAGTGGTTATGCTAACAATTATGTTGCAGCATTGTTTGCTAAAGGGAACAAATGAGGGTTAAAGAGAAGAAACCTTTCCAAGAACTGACCTTCTGAATCATGACACTGTAAATTCCTGTCTGTTGGAATCCACGGGTATAGTACAGCATATTCACCCAGCCAAGAACCAGTGCAAACACCATAAGGGCGACATAGACTTCACTTCCTGCCAGGTAAGCAATACCACTGCTCAGGATAATAACGGCTTGGAAAAAGCTGGGAAAATAAACAAAAATTACAAAAGGAGAAAATGGTACATCATAAAAATATAGGTAAAAACAGATCTTTCCTCTCTTTTATTAAAATTCACATCAGCATGTATACCTGCATCATCTAACACTGTTTTTATTTCTGTACTTACCTTTCTTAAGTCAACTACCTGGTATCCTTGAAGGCACTTAAGACATTTCAATACTTTAGTGAAATTATTTATAAGAATACTTAGGAAAAGTGGATCTAAAAAAAAGCTTGTGACCACTGAATTTAGACTAGGTAGGTTATTTAAAATCAGTACACTTAGGGGCAATCTTCCTGGTACGTGTGTTTTAAAAGGCAGTGATTGGTTCACCACCAGTGAATGTTTGCTTTATAAAAACTCCCCTTATTGTTAGCACGCATTTGCTTCTTATTTTGCTTGTATGTGTCTTATAGAGTAACAAACAATAATCAGGACCAAAATAATAATGCCAAAATATTTAGCACTTACAAAAGAATTTCAAAATAGCCATCCATTATTAAAATTTGCAAAGAAGGACGCCTCTTCCAAAAATATATTATCTGCAAGAAGAAGAAGATTATTATTCATTGTATACCATTATAAACATTGAAGATATTACCTAAATAATGAGAAAGTATGCATCAGTTGTTTCGTCTTTTACATTTTGCATGTAATATGTTTATTATTGCAATGGGGTCGATTTACTAAAAGTGGAGAGAGATAAATCTGGTGCAGCTGTGCATGGTAGCCAATCAGCTTCTAACTTCAGCTTGTTCAATTAAAGTGGTTTTAAAGGTTCAAGGGTTTTTATCTACATGCATTCTATGCATGAAGATAGAAAAAACCTTCTGTGTGCAGCAACCCCCCTCCCCTACCAGCCCCCCTAACACTTACCTGAGCCCCATCGCAATCCAGCTGTGTGCACGAGAGTCTCAGCTCTCCAGGGACTCTCCCTCCTCATTGGCTGTGACAGCAGTGAGAGCCATTGGCTTCCTCTGCTGTCAACCACAGCCAGAAAGCCACTGGGGGGGAGTCGTGGCTCTGTGTGTGAATGGACACAGAGAGCAGTGAGCGAGCCTGCTTAGGGTCCCCCATAGCAAGCTGCTTGCTGTAGCAGCACTCTGCAAGCAGGAGGGGCCAGGAGCGCCGGCGGGGGACCCAAGAAGAGGAGGATCAAGGCTGCTCTGTGCAAACCTACTGCACAGAGCAAGTATAATATGTTTGTTATTTTTTTTACAAAATAAAATTGCCTTTAATAATACTTTAAGCTTTGACAATAAAAACTTGGAATCTGATTGGTTTCAGTGCATAGCTGTGCCAGATTTTGCACTCTCCAATTTTAGTAAATCAACCCCAATGTGTTTTAAGAACTTTCATTTCAAGCTCAGACCAGTGTTAGTATTGCTTTGCTTACGTTCATATTGTCTGCACTTCACACGTTTCTCTTTACCTGCTTCCCGTCCGCCCTATAGCAGAAATACTGCTACAGGGCGGCACGGGTGCGCAAAATCATGTATATATATGTGATTTTGCATTTCTGGGTAGGGGGCGCGCGCGAGCTGCGGTCATGTCTGTCAACCACAGGGCCCTGGCCAGTAATTACTCACCGGTGCCTGGTGATTTCCGACGATCACCGACGGGGAGGAGGGCTGTTTTGTATACTAACAGTCCTCCTCCCTGCCAGCTTGGGCACATTGCTCTGGATGGCTGTGCACAGCACAGCCATCCAAAGCAGTGTGCTTACAGTGAAGCCCACAGACACCGCCCCCTACTAAAACACTCCCTGCACACAGTTAACCCTTTGATCGCCCCTCATGTTGCTTTTTTTTTTAGCACTGATCACTGTATTGGTGTCACTGGGGATGTCAGTGACACCAAGTCAGTTCCCCCCAGTGTCAGAACGTCTGATGCAGTCCCGCTATAATTCACTGATCCCTGCCATTACTAGTAAAAAAAAAAAAAAAAAATCCCAGTATATATACCGCCATTTGTAAACACTATAACCTTCATGTAAACCAATTAATTTACACGTATTGGGATTTTTTTAGCAAAAACATGTCACAGAATACATTTTGGCCTAAATTTATGATGAAATTTGATTTTTAAAATTTTTTTTACTGGACATGTTTAATAGCAAAAAGACAAAAATGTTTTTTTCTCAAAATTGGCGGGCTTTTTTTTTTATAGCGCAAAAAAAAAAAAATAAAAACACACAGGCGATCAAATACCACCGAAAGAAAGCTCAATTCGTGGGAAAAAAAGGTCAGAAATTTGATTTGGGTGCAGCGCTGCATGACCGCGCAATTGTCAGGTAAAGTAATGCAGCGCCGTAATGCAAAAATGGCCTGGTCAGGAAGGGGGGTAAATCCTCAGGAGGGCTAGCAGTTAAAGCAATTTTTAGCCTGACTTTGTAGGTAGGTGTGGCCCGCTTTCTCCACTGTAGGTGGCCCTCAACCACAGCCTGGTTGTTTGTACTGCAGTTGAGTATAATCTTCAATACTCTGTTGCCGCACCATGTTGCACTTCCCTACAACTTTATACACTTTCCAGTGTCACAGGCCTAATGTATAGCAATATATCTTCAAATTAAAGTCATTTTATTGTACATACCTCACATATTAGTATATAAAGTCCACCAAACATGATGATGATTTCTCCAAGTACACGAATATTGTCTTTGGGTGTCCCTTTCAGTGGAAATGGAGGCTTTAAAAAAATTGAAGGTGTCATAAATTAGAGTAATCATTTTAACAAAACTATCCAGTATATTGCAAATAAAGTGAGTACAGTAGGAAAAGTTACAGATAAACATAAACCTTGTTAATACTCACTGCACTTCTAGTGCATGTGCTGCTTGACAAATTTCCAATTATTTATCTTTTTGTCACAATTTGCTAATTTGCATAATGCACAGCGTTTACAATGCACAAAAAGCTTTTACTGCACACATTAAAAGTATATACTGTATATATATACCTGTATATATATACCTGTATATATATATATATATATATATATATATATATATATATATATATGAAATGGCACATGCATATAGATGTTAAAGTTCTGATATACACATACAGTACATTTAGATTTTGCTACTGAGATTTGTTAAAGGTTTACTATAGATAAAGACATAAATGATATTACATTCTGATAACATGAATGAAAACTGAGCGAGCATGTACACTTCCCATTAGACTGCAAGCAGGCAGGTAGGTTTATTTTACTGCAGAAAAGACTGAGGGGTAGATTTACTACAGACAAACAGACTGTGCACTTTGCAAGTGCAGTCACACCACTTTTCCCCAGAGCTTAGTAAATGTGGTAAAGCTCTGCTGATTTCTATCAACCAATCCAATGTGCAAGCAAAAATGCTGTTCTTTTATTTTGCTTGCTCCTGATTGGGTATTTTTTTACAAAGTGAAGCTTAACACATTTACTACAGAAAATGAGTGCAACTGCATTTGCAAAGTGCACAGTCTATTTGCCTTTAGTAAATCCATCCCACTGCATGTTTCGTCTGCAATAAAAAGACCTGCCAGTTAACATTTGTTTAATTCTAGATTTTACTTCTACTATAAGGGATTTAGGAAGGTAGAGGTTCCTCTGACCTCTAGAAGTCCTTTCTAAGAGCAGATAACACAAAGTGCCTTCTACTACCTTTATTAGGACCAAAAAGTCCCCTGAAGGCCCTCTTTGATTTTCTTTCACTTTACTAATGAAACCTGGCAATTGCCATCCCTCACCTTTACCCGGCGGCACCCGCCATACCATTCCCAGGCCCCGGGAGCTGCAGCCACTGGGAGTGCGTGTAAAACCGCCCACTGTCAGATCTGTACGATGTACATACATGGCAGAGAACAGGTTAATGCTGCACTTAGTTTGGTGCCCCCGGAGTGTTCCCTTGGTCCTGCAGGTATATCCATTCATCCACCCAGGGTTTCTATGCTGGTCTAAGGTTCCCTGTTGTTCCCATGTGATGAACCTATTTTATCTGTCACAATGTGAGTCTCTTCAGAGGTGCTATATCTGGTGCACTGAGATCAGTGGGAAGTTATGCTGAACACTCCTGTTGGACTCTATGCACTTTTTGCTGTTCTGCATAGACATTTATGTACATATGACACTTATTGCACCATATACCCCATTACTACTGTATAAAACTAAAACAATCTTCTTAATAAAACAATAATTATAATTCAAAACATAGAGTAGATTCCTGAGCATGAATCCAATGTAAATCTAAATTAAAGGCTGGAAAAACTGAAAATCAGATATCAATGGCATACATTCATGCAACTGTTTTCAAAATACATCATTAATGTGTTGACCTATAATTAATTGATCTCAGTACAACCAGCCTAAGGTTTCATTGTATTCTGATGGATGGGAAATGTGTTGATGAGAAAATCAAGCAATTTTCTTTCCTTCGACCCATGGCTGAAGGAAAGAAAATGGGTTAATATTTGGTCTGCCTTAGACAAACAAGGCTGCGCAGTCAAGTGGCAACCCATCACAAACACATCCATGAGCCAATTTGTGTCTTGACCCAAAGTTTGAGAAATCTTGAAAATTCAGGAGCTACAGTATATGCCATGAAAAATCTCATTGCCACCTGTGACCACAAAAGCAAGACATTTAGAAATACAAAGTTTTATTGAGTAGATTTCACTACTAGCCAGGATATTCCCAGGATGAAAGCTGAATGTAAACAAAGGGGCGGTTGATGCATGCTGACATCATTACCCAACTATGGCAATGCCCATTTGTCAATGAAAAGTCACACAGAAGAGGACTCACCTTCTTACCCATTGCCATACGCTGTCAAGTAAATGCGAAGCAAAAATGCAACATCTGCTAAAGCATGGACACAGATTGCTTTAAAAAATGTACAGATGTTCTAATTAACCCTCCTCCACCCACATACTATGCTAAACCAAAAATACATGGACTGGAGTGCATTAATGGACACTAAGCTGTGGATGAGGCATTTTTTGCAGGTAATATTCCCTGGTGAATGTGTTTTAAGACACAGTAAATTACCAGTTTGGTGATTTCACTGCTTTATAAATATGCCCCTAAGTGATTGTCCCCAATTATGTGGTTTAAGGCCCCCCATTAAGAGCCCCCCCCCCCCATAACTAGCAGATAGCTCCACTGCTGGCTTACGCGTTTCCCTTACATGTATAGATACAATTTCTTTTTTTAATTTCTCACCTGTCCTTCGAGTGGCCTGTGATACGCTGTCACTGTGAATATGATCATGTACAAAACATAGAGGAAAAAACTTCACATAAAATATCTTGCTAGCATAAGAATCCCATTTTTCCTGTAATAAATGGTTGATGGGTTCCAGCACTACCATTTCATGCCGATTCTGGAGAGAGAGGTCAGCAATACCAATCAGATAGTTCTGTCCTTTTCACTTAATGAACAGACAAGCACAGATACTGTAGATAAAACACTTTCAATGATATATTTAACAGACAGAAACAGAGCAACCCATCCCCAAAACTGTACATTGCCTTAAATAGCTGTTGTGAGAATGGGGCAAAATCAAATATTCTTAGGGCATTTTCTCTTCTGGTTGAATATTCATAGGCAATTGTTTTAGGCTAGTTTCTCCTCTGTGGTAAAATAAGAATACAAAGGAGACATACACTAAGACTCAACTATAAAAAAACAAACTATGCAGCAGAGAAGAGTGATTGTGAAACTGTCATCTCTCTAGGAAAAAATAATAGTATCGCAGGGCTGTGATTGTGGCACTTATCTCCAAATGTTCAAAGGTACAAAATGCATATTTTTTTTAATCCAACATCAATAAATAACTTTCACAGACTGAGACCTTACCAATATAGAAGTTTCAATTTTAATCAGTAATGCCTAGTACACAATGAGAAAATCGGACGAAAAAAATAGCTTTCGGAGGGATCGTACGATAATCTTATCGTTAGTACACAGCTTTGGGGAGCCAATCATGACAGTTCATGCAACAATATCCAAAGGGATAAGCGTGAAAATTCGACTCGTACAATACCAGAACAAATGATTTTCGTTTAATCAGCACAGTATTCATCCAAAAAAAATCAAGTGAACCTGACTGCATAATCGGAAACGAAAGAATACAATAGATTACAATACAATACATTACATCACCTCCAAAGTTGTTTTCTGTCTTACGAGAATTTTTGTAACTTTAGTAACCTCTTTATTTTCAATGTGAGAAAAAAAATGGATGATCATTCGTCCGACATTGTCATCGTGTGTACCAGGATTTAAAACCGCTTCCCATCTGCCCTATAGAAGTGCTGCTACAGGACGGCACAAGTGCGCAAAATCATGTATATATATGTGATTTTGCATTTCTGGGTAGGGGGGTGTGTGTGAGGCGCGCACGCACCCTACCCACACCACCATTCGTGGCCAAAACTGTCAATCACTGGGTCCCAACCAGTGATTACTCACTGGCTCTTGGTGATTGCCAAGCATCCCCAATGGGGGCGGAGAACTGTTTGTAAACAAAACAGTTCTCTCCTGTCAGATTCTGCACACTGCTTTGCATGGCTGTGCACAGCACAGCCATGCAAAGCAGTGTGCTTACAGCACACTGTTAACTCTTTGATCGCCCCACATTTTAACCCCTTCTTGCCCAGTGCCATTAGTACAGTGGCAGTGCTTTTTATTAGCAGTACTGCAGTCCCACTATAAGTTGCAAAGACATGTAGCAGAAAACATTTTGGCCTAAATTTATAACAAAATTCGATTTTTTAAATTTTTTACTGGACACGTTTAATAGCAAAAAGTCAAATATATTGTTTTTTTTTATCAAAATTGGTGGTCTTTTTTTTATTGTGAAAAAAAAATAATAATCGCGCAGAAGATCAAATACCACCAAAAGAAAGCTCTATTTGTGGGGAAAAAAAAGACATAAATTTCATTTGGGTGCAGCGTTGCATGACCAATTTTTCAATTACGTAATGTAAAAAATGGCCTGGTCAGGAAGGGGGGTAAATCCTCTGGAAAGCAAGTGATTAAGCAGCGATGCAGTCAACTTTGGGTAAATATAAATATGTATCCTTTGCAAAAATGTAAATGAGATTAACTGATGGCATCTAATCAGATACAGCCAATGTTCAAATATTCAGCAGCCACTGGTGCTGAGGCCATCAACAGCCAACAGTGCAGATTCCCCCAACCATGCTGTTTAGCGTGGATGGGGAAACCGGGTGATTGCTCTTGTTCAGCCCCACCGGACTGAACAAAAGAAATGTACAAATGTATGGCTAGCATAAAGCTAGCTGTACACACATATATTTTTGCATTCAGTCCCTGGGCTCAACAAGAGAATTCTAAAATCTATAAAGCAGTGTTGTCCAAAGTTTGTGAGTACACAAAACCCCGAACCCAAAAAAATGTTCATTGTCGTGGAACCCCACCTCTCCCCCAGAGTGAAACATTATTAAATGCAATCAGTAATATTTATTCAGGTACATTTTTTAAGACTTAAGACTAACAACTTTTATTATAATACTAGTATAATCGGAAATTTAAATTGAAAATGACGTCTAGAAATATAAACATCAATTCTATCATAGCATGTCATGAACTTGATTATATGAGAATTGTAGTGTAAGAATCGTAGTATGCTATGAGCGTCACAGCCATACATACATAAGAAGTCAATTATCAATATTGAAATCTAATGGGAAGCGTGAGCTTGCTTGCGATCGCAGATCAAACTTATTCGAGGCTCGCTGGTGGACAAGCTCACACGCCTTTTTTCATTGATTATTTGAAGTGTCTCTCATTTCTTCGACTTCATTTCCGTTAATACTGAAAATCCCTGCTTGCAAAGGTATGAGCTACCGAACGGCAACAGCAATTTAATCGCTTACATGCTAAGCAGTGGATATTGAGCTTCCAAACATATCCAGTATTCTGAGAGCTCTTTCTCAGCAAAGAGATTTTTATACACCAGATAATTTCTCACATCGATGAGGTTTTCTTCAGCTTCTGGTTCGAGAAGAATGATTTCATGTTTGACGAAAGGTTTGAGCACCCACTCAATCTGCGGAACCCTTGGAGCTTCTACGGAACACACTTTGGACAACACTGCTATAAAGCATGGAAGGAGGAATCTGCACTGCCAGTTATTGTATTCATCTGATAGGTTGCAGTCCCTGTTGGGCTGACAGTATTCCACCTGACACCTTTTAATTTTTCACTTGACGCTTGCTGGTGCTGCCAACAGGGCCACCCATGGCTCAAATTTCAGTCTTGCCTGAATTGTCAAAATTTGAGCCATGTATGGGCAGCATGACACCTGTCCAAAGATTTACTCAAAATAATGGACCACTGCATTTACAAATCCTGCTAAATCCCACATATTCTCTTTGTAGACAAAGTGGAGCAGGGCAATCGGGACAGTGGTTCTAAACAGTTACCAAATTTAGGCCATTTGGGTAATATAAAATAAATGCCAAAACATTTATGTTCCAATATGCTGCTTGCCACATGGAAACAATTTAACCCACAGCGTCTTACTCACATTGGCATTACTGTTGAATACAATGGTTTCCAGCACAGAGTCAGCTTCATATGAGTCCACAGATGACATGTCATACAGAGAGGTGTGCACTGGACCGTATGTCCATTCTGTGAACTTCCGAGACAGATGTTTATAATCTTGCTCTGTAATCTCCCTCCGCAGTATGTGCTTGAACAACTGAAAGACATCTCAAAAGTTTTATATAAGCAATAAAATACACTTACAACAAAGCAGATTTCCAATAAGCATTGCTTTTTTGGAGGATGACGGCTCAGCACATGGGAAGATTTTTTAATACCCCCAGTTAGTATGGATTACAACCAAATTTAATTTTAGTTTTGTATAAAATGAGGAAGGGTAAGAACCTCTGCCAAGATTTTAATTTTGTCTGTGCTGCTACTGGTAAGAGCTTCTTGCTTTCTGGAATACTGGACAGGAACACCGAATAGGAAATGAAGTTTGCGAGTGGGACAGCATTAAATACCTGTCACTCAAAAAATACAAGGGCTACTTTTCAGGCAGAATTGAGCATTTTTGTTCCCCATCCACTTCAATGGAAACGCCTGAAAAGCACGACATAAGCATTCTCAAACTTTTATTTTTCCTTAAGCGTTTTGTCTTGTGTTTTCAGCTCAAACAGCAGCTCTCTGCCCCTTTTTCAGCTTGCCATTGGTTACATAAAAAAACACCTAGTTGAAAAATGTCTGAAAAGAAAAAAACCCTGACAAAACATGAAATTCTGCTCCAATAAAACAAACAAAAATGTTTGAAAAAAAAAACTTGAAAAAAAAACAAAAAAATTTGATGCTTAGGTGTTAATGTAGCCTTATATAAAATTCACTAACACGTCCCCAACCTACAAAATGTACCAAACTTTTCTCCTATCTAAACATTTAATGCTTAAAGTGACACATAAAATCTTTTCTTACTGGGTTTTTCTGGTTATTTTTAAGATTCTTTGTAAGTTCCTGACCATTCCCTTTCCCTCTCACTTTCATTTGGAACAAGCAATGCACAATAATTGCGGTCATGTGCACTGCTCTATACACACTACAAATCCCACAGTCTGTAGCCTCTAGTCCATCTAGGAAGAGAGGGTGGCTACATTCCTACATACAGTGGGACCCATGGAGAACAAACTTAGCCACCTTCTAATAGGAATTCAGATCACAGCTACAAAAAGGAATTTGGAGATTTGGAGGAGGCTGAGAGCAATAGAAAGTAACTTTTTGATTTAAGACTATATAGCAACCTCCTAGTTTAGCTAGGGGGAGCTAGATCTCAATGGTTAGTCAGGCGCTGAGAAGCAGCTCAGCTGTAATAGCCAGAAGGGTCAAATTGTGGTCAGGGCTTGAGAGGCCCACCTCTCTGGAATTTCTCCCTGCCCTGAGACTTTTGGAGGAAGGTCTTGGAGGCAGTGGGTGGATCTGAGGAGTGGCTGGCTGCATTTTTGAGGGACCTCAGCCAATCCCCACAACGGAAGGCTTGGCAAGGGGCAGGGACTACCTTAAAAGTGTTGGAGACTGCTCAGTATCAGGAGTCGGGTGGAAGGTGTGGAGAGTTGGAGGAAGATGTGAGGTTGAGGAAAGAGACTGCCAGGAGGCCTAGTGAGATGGGCCTACCCGCAAGCCTGGAGCTGGAAAGGCGGAAAACTTGGAGCTCACTGGCCCCCTGAGCGAGGACCACCTGTATGGCAGAGAAGGAACAGCCCAGCTGCCAACCCGCAACTGGTACAGGAGAGGATCTGAGTGAGTATACCTGCACCCTCTGGGTGGATAGGGGGAGGAAGCACTCTGGTGGGAAACCAGATTAGCCCCCAACTAGTGACTGTTCACCCATGTAAAGGAACAGGAGCCAGATCCCCTGTTGAGGAAAACCACCAGATTGCTGAGTAAAGAGGAGAATTTCATCTAGGGTCTGGGATGGTACATCAAGGAAATGCTGGCTAGCTCTCCAACAGAGACTCTGTTGCAGAAGAGAAGTTTGTGAATAGCTCCAGGAAGTTTGTCCTCAGTTATCGGTTCCCTTGGGCATCCTATACCCCCCTTACCCTATCCCAGTTCTAAATTCCCTCAATAGACAACAAAACAAAAGCTCAAGGACTGGTTTCTAACTGTTAATGCAAGCTTGCGTTGAGAATGGCGATTGCCCGGCTGTGCAGGACTATAGGGGGATCCAGTTCATCAGCAACCCCTAAGGGGGTAGTGCTACAAATATATACTTGAATAGAATTTTTTAAAACCAGAGTTTAGTGTCACTTGACCACCTCAATATTTAATTTTTAGTAAAGTTGTTCTATAAATATGATGCCCTAGGTGCAGACCACACACTAAAATACTTACATTTATCCCCACTCCCAGGTTCTTCTCTTTGAGGCCTTGCCTGGCACCTCACAGCTTTTGTAAGAAAAACATGCGACCTCATCCTGTGTTTAGTGTGCATACAGCCAGTGATTATATCCATCCCAATGGATGGTCCATACCCAGCCATCCAGTAGAGTACAGAACAACCATTGAAATTAAGAGAGCTGCTGAGCCTGACCAAAGCCCAGTTTAAACTCTTACTCCAGATCACAACAGCAGCAAAGCAAACTATAGCAAAATCCTTGAAAACACCTGCCCTGTTTTGGTCATACTGAGTTAACTAAGCAATGACAATTGCCAAAATTGAATCCACCCTTCAAGAAAAGAATCCGCACATACTTAAACATTCGGCAACCCTCTGTAGACAAATCTATTCCTCCTGATTTCGATACAACCCTGTTGGAGCCTTGACTAACCCACAGATACCCTCTAACTCTGGTCATAAATGTTCTTGATGTACACATGCTATAGCTTTCAGTAAAAAGTTTGAATAAGAAATTAGGAGGACTGTGGTGGATGAGAGTAAGTATTTTGATGTGTGGACTGCACTAAAAGTGAAGCTCTCCTTTAACACTTAACCCCTAACCTGGCTCTAAAACCTACCAAAACCCTAGCACTTTAACCCCTAAACATGACCCCTAAATCTTAAACTTCCTGCCAACATTGATACCTTTAAGTAAGTCCTAAAATGTTAGGCCCTAACACTAAATAAACTCTTCTTCTGTATACTCACTTCATTCTGTACCAACTCTACGCAGACCCCACATTTAAAGCCTATGCTACCAATATCCTCATGCCAGACTCAACTGATTCAGCAAAAGGGTGAAATAACTTTCATTCTCTATTCCCCATCCAACCGACCATGTTAACAATTCTCCTTTAAAATAAAAAGCTAATTTAAGTTTTAGCTTGAGAATTAAAAAAAATAATTTTAGAACAGCTTTTTCTTGCTGGCGTCTTTAACACTAATAAAAAACATGTTCCTATTGTCCTTCACTGAAACATTTGAGACACTGAGATATTCAGATTAGCTAGACATTACCTAAATGTCTTTTATTTTTATCTTTAGACGTCTGACATGTTTTAGGAATTCATTTCGTTAAATTACCCTCTAAAACAACCTTTTTAATGTCAATTGGCTATGATTTTTCTACCATCATTAAACACAGAAAGCTAACAAACGTGAGACCACTAACAACGACAACAACAAAAGCTCACAGATGACATGGCATGGAGGACACAAGATGCTTTTCAAAAGTCAAACTCGAAAGGAATTCTGTACAACATTTGCACAGCCCTGCCATGTTGAAGTCCTGATGTTCCTCTACTGCAGCTATGCAATACAGCTTGGTCAACTCTATGCCCCTTGGACAATAAATATGTAATGTACATTTAAAGCTGGAGGGGAAAAAACTACTACATTTCATAAGTGTTAGGACTGCTGTACTTGGCTACTTGGAATCTGCATTTTAATGTTCTGTTACAGGGTCTCAAAGCCATTGAGATGTTAATTGGGTCCTACAGGCTAGTGAAAATCGGCCTTATATTGCATTTCTTTTCATTATATTATCTAGAAGCTCATGTGCTTTCATCATGACACCCTCATAAAGGGAATTACATTTATGACCTTTATGAACCTTTAGGAAAAATTCCCCAGTTGCACAGCACGCAGGACATGGAACTTATATCAATGGATGCTACAGATGACCTCTTGCCTACGTAGGCACTGGCTTAGGATGTGACGGGAAATTGCTCCAAGCAAGACACAAACAGCAGAATGGGGAAGAGTAAACCCTATGTCAAGGATTAGTTGCTGTTTCTGTGTACATCCGGGAGTGTTGTGTTACACTTATTTGATTTATTATTATTTCTCTGAGACCATCACTTGTTTATTAATGCTCTGTGACTTTGAGCTGTCTCCTTCTTTCTAAGCTGAGCTCTTTCTCTCACCGTACTTGTGTATAATCCTCCCCCCTGCCTCTTCCTGTAATCATTCCACTGTATCCTGTCTTCTTGAATGCATCTTCCATGAGGCTACAACATTAACCTTTTTCTACCTATGAATATTCGCCATTAAATGGAACATTCGAATGGGTTTCCTCATCTGACTTCCTCAACATGTGATTTTATCCATTGAGTTAAACTATCTGACCTGATGCAAGGGATAAATTCAACACCACGTGGTATAGCTGTATACATCATGGGAGATAATGTTTATTGTTCCTGTAGTTTAGTCAGAATAGGGAGGAAATAGTATGGGTGACACTGTTTCTCAGGGTATCATATTTTGTTGCTGGAAAATGCAATAAGGGAAAATCCAACCAACTAGAACACTGACAGCAATAAAATCTGGAGGAAATGGGGACACATTTTAACTGCTATCCAAGGCTCTGTAAAATAAATTTACATAATCTTCCTGTCCTTTTACAGGACAGGAAGTGGGGATGATGCTGCAACAGCAACACAATCAGGAATAAATGTTTTTTTCTTTAGTATATTTGTCAAATTTGTATTTCTGCCTGTGCCTCTGATGCAGATTTTCCCTCACTTCCTGTGTGATGAAACTGTTGTCAGCAGAACAGGAAGTGAAGGGAAATCTCTCTAGCACAGCCCTGGATAGCTTTAGAACTCAAAAATTCTTCCCCACTAGAAAAATAAGTTATTGCCTTGCCATACACTTTAAGCAGCAACAAATTTGCACTGTAAAAAAAAAACTGAACGCTAATACAGTGTGCACAATGTGTGGTCGCTACACATTGTGCACACAAAGTGCAAGGTTTTCTGATGAATGTGAATGTCATGATCTGCCCCCCTCCATTGAAAAGAATGCAGGACATTTTTGGAAAGGACTACCTGTAGAGAGAGCAACCCACTGTGATCTATGTACTCCAGCTAGAACTGTAAGTTTCAGTGCTGGTTATTTGCTGCTGACCATAATGTATGGGAAGGGGGATGAATGTAATGCCTAGTACACATGATGAGAAAATCAGATGAATGGTCATTCGTGGTTTTTAGACATGCTGCTCTCATATCGAATATGAGAGTGCTTCTACGCATAGAAAACCTCTACTACGATCCAGTACAGCTTCCTTTGTATGTAGCAATGTACCACTGGTGTGCAATCAGAAGTGATGTCATGTACGTGTGACCCCTATTTGTTGCCAGCTATGTTATTTTCATATATTAGTAGCATTTTCTCCTTCTGTGTTATTTCATAATTCCAATCATGCGCGGTCTTGGGGCTCGTTCACACTTGACTGTTTTTACCAACACTTGCCAAATGCCCCTATAGCGTTTGGCAAGCGTTGGTCCGGCGTTTGCGGAGTGTTTTTTAATGCTCGGCAAACTCTCCGCAAACGCCGCACATGTGTGGTTTAGCGGAAGTTGCTAGGCATTTGCCGAGCGTTAGAAACACCCCACAAACGCCTATAATGAAGTTTGAATGGTGTTACCGCTCCGCAAACGCCCCGCAACCGCGTTACAACTGCATCGCAAACGCCGGCCGGGCGTTTACGGAGTGGCACCATAGACTAGAATAGGAGGCTCCAATGCCTCCTGACTCGACCAGAGGCACCTGTTTTGTCGCGACGCGACGCTAACGCTCCCGTTAGAACAGCACCATGTGCTGCAATGTGCAGAATTGTCCGAGGTGTTTGGGAAGCGGTAAAAACGCTTCCCAAATGCCTCTCTGCCGCCAGCACACAATGCTAGTGAACGTAGCCTTGGTCACTCAGCTTTTTTATGGCCAAATACTGTACTGATTTAAACAAAAAATAATTATTTCTGCATTCTTAAGAAAAACATTGTCATGCTTGTCCCTTTGGATAATTTCCCACCAACTGTTGTGACCGGCTCTCGAAAAACTGTATACTAACGAACAGATTATCAGACAATTCGCTCCGAAAGTGTTTTTTTTCATCTGATTTTCTCATCGTGTGTACTGGGCAAAAGGGGTTGTATAAGGCAGTAGCGGCCACACATTGTGCACATTTCATTAGCATTCATTTATTTTTACAGTACTCAATGACATTTGTTTTTGGCCAAAGTTCAACTTTAATAGAAAGTTCGTCTTTATACTAACCATCAATTTTAAACCAGTTTTGGCCTTTACCAAATGGGGCTGCTAATGTAAACAAAGGTTTCTTTTATACTAACCTCAATTTTACCAGTTTTGGCTGCTAGCTTCAGTGGTGTTAGACCTTCCCAGTTGTGAATTCCTTCCAGGTCCATCTCTGGATCAATTGTTATTGACCTCTTCAGAATGTCGTCATACATTTTAGTGATTATCTTAGTGTTCTTCTCTGTGTTATCAGCCACTAAAACCAGAGCGTGCAGGACCGTGTTCCCGTGACTATCTCTGGCTTTTAGATCAGCTTTACGATATGGATTGTTTAAGAGATAATCAACAATATTGGGTTGGTTAGTGCAGGCAGCAAGAGAAAGAGGGAGTTCACCTGTAAATGGAATTATTTCAGACTTTAGTCAAGAAATACTATAATCCACCAGCATCCCTCCAGATGTCTCCCGACAGTGAAAAAAAAAAACTAATTGCAGAATTTTGGTGGACGACAGAACTTTCATCTCAAGCTCTGTTTTTGCAAAAGTAATAAGCAACTTGCACAATCAGTAAGATGAGAATTCTTGGAAATCCTGTAAACAGGTTGATGTATTATAACACAAAAGGAATAAAATGAATTGTCTCATCAGATTATATACTTTATGTAAATACTGTATCTTGTATTTCACATGCATGAAATACATTATCTGTACATTACCTGTAATAATTATACATTACCAGTAATAATGGAGCATGGGTCTTACATTATCTATATGCTGCTGAAACATTTTACATCTTTTTTTTTTTTTCACTTGTCTGATGGTGCAATAGGGGCTTGCTTGTTCCCAGCCTAAGGCTAATGTCAGAAAATCAACTTTGCAACAGGAGTGCTAATAGGCCACTTACCTTTTCTTATGAAGTAACTTCCTTGCTGGGCATACCAGCAAGGTGTCTATCCCGCTCTACACCAAGGCTAGCAAAGTGAGATTCTGCAATGTTCTGGGCCAACGAGGAAAAATAATTGTCTGTCCGTTTGCTGATACTGCTGGCAATGTGTCATCAGAGGCAGGATCAGTTGCCTGATATGTCTTAGTGGTCCATTCTCACCTAAGTGGTCTGTTGCAGTGCCAACACCAAAATAGACTCAAAAATTGGAAAAGCACCATTTATTGTGATACAGAGCACCACAATGCACAGCATCTTGGTACACTGCAGTGAATGTGCATTTGAGATGTGTTGCCTTAGTGGTATACCATTGAATATAATTGGCACAAAAAGGTGCCAAATCACAGCACCCCATAGGCGTGGATGGGTGTTAAGTGTGGTTATATAGGTAAATCTCTATCCACCGATAATATGCATTGTGAAGCCTGGCCATCCTCTTCAAACTGCTGTACAGACAGGACTCACTGTCACCACCTCACAGCCAGCATGTGCTGCCATCTGTGGACTTGCTGATGGTACCAGACATATGTAAAAATAAGACTAAGCTCAATCCTGGCATTAATACCTAAAGAGGTATTTAGAGTACAGCTGCAAATCTTCAGCCAAAGCTGACAATTCAAACTAGAAATCAAACTTTTAAAGTTAGTTCTTAGACAGGCTGTCTGCTTTCAGTAACATCATCCCTCCATTCCTGTTTGGCTGGAATCATTTTTTACTATCTGCTATACTAAAACAATATAAAAAACCAAAGTCAATGGGAAAAGAGGACTAACAAAAACTACAGTATAGACCAGTGTTTCTCAACCTTTTTTTCAGTCAAGGCACCTTTTAAAATTTTGGACAGTCCCGAGGCACCCTTTAAAATTTATAAACAGTCCCGAGGCATCCTTTAAAATTATGAACAGTCTTGAGGCACCCCATTTTAAAATAGTGCCTCAAGACTGTCCATAATTTTAAAAGGGCACCCCATTCTAAAATGTGAAAAACTATTCTAATAGTTTTATATACGCAGCAACATCCACACATGTAGGACACCCAACATTAGAGATGATTTATTCTTCCAAAGCAAATACACTTTTGCACAATGGTACTGAGTAGTATTCCAGTCTTCTCCCTCAGTTTTTATCCATCACTGAGCTAAAAGTGACCCCAGCACTGATGGCAAGGGGCAGGGGAGGGTCAAACTAGGATACTGTTCAGGCAGCTGACATCCTCCTTATCAACTAATGATATCATTGGCTGTCAGGATGCTGGTGGCTAGAAGGTCGTAATGGCACACAATGAAAACCTGTGGCGTTGTGTAACTAAAAGGCAGGCTTTTTCCACCGCTGACTTGTATACAAGATTTGGGCGATTTTTAGACATTTTGCCAAGGCACCCCTGAAGAATCCTTAAGGCACCCCAGGGTTGAGAAACGCTGGTATAGAGAGTAAATAATGTAGATTTTTACACAGAATTTCAGAGCTGCTATCTAGGGTATGTAGCAACAAAGAGCTTACAACAGCCTCTATGCATAGGTAATATTAAATGGGAAATTATATATGAGGGTTAAATATATATACCACATAGAATTGGATGCATCAAACTTACATTATTTTATATAGATGCCTTACATACAGTAGATTTTATTATGTGATATCTTACCAAAGTAAAAACTGACTCCTTTTTTCTTCCTCTGAAAAAACATGCCCTCCGCCTTGGCATGGACTTCAGCTTTGTGTTTCATCAACAGCTGGACTAGTTGGAAGCTTCTCTTCTCAATAGCTATGTGGAGTGCTGTCTGCCCTGGGGTGACACAGAGAAATATATCATATGCATGATTACACAGTAGTAATAAATAAGGTAAAGCTGCCATCAATTTGAATACTCAGTTGTCAGGAATTGGATCACCTGCTAGTGGCACTGTGGTTCCCAGAGCTGAAAGGTGTATTTTTTGCTGTCCACCAGTGGGTATCCCCCAGTAGTCAGTAGATCCCAGTAAGTACTCCTCACCTGATGCTGGCTGCTGAGAAGGTACTGTATGTAAGACCTACTCTAGCTTCCCTTAGCATGCCAGTGTTTTGCCTGTGTGTCATGTACCTGGTTAGTGATGCTCTGCTCCTGACCTTGATCCTTATTCTAATCTTTGCCCTGATTCCTATCACGATCCTGTTTCAGTTCCAGTACCTGCATCTGCTCCCCTTATTTCTGATCCCAGTTCTAGTCCCTTCCTGGTCCATCCCACTGGTAGGTCCTTGCATCTCCTGCCATACCCTGCATATGAGTGTTCTCCCCTTCGTTGTATATATTTTAGTATAGTTAGTTTTTCTAGCTATGCAGTTTATCATTTTACTATTCATGTATATTTTCACTTTGGCCTTGTAGTCTGTTTGCTGATGTTGGACAGGTTTTTACTTCATCATTAAGCAGTCTGGTCCCAGTCTCCTTAACCACTTTCCACCGGAGGTACATATTTGCAGCCTCTCAGAGGGTGAGCCTTAATGCCAAGAGGCCCTGTGTAAACTGGTTTCTGTGCTGAGAGCGTGCACCCTGCGTGCTCTCAGTACAGTTAGGCTACGTTCACACTAGCGTTGTGTGCAGGCGGCGGAGAAGCGTTTGGGAGAAGCATTTTTACCGCTTCCCAAACACCTCGGACAATTCTGCACATTGCAGCACATGGTGCTGTTCTAACGGGAGCGTTAGCGTCGCGGCAAAACGGACGCCTCTGGTCGAGTCAGGAGGCGTTGAAGCCTCCTATTCTAGTCTATGTTGCCGCTCCACAAATGCCTGACCGGCGTTGTGAGGCAGTTGAGGGGCGTTTGCGGAGCGGTAACACCATTCAAACTTCATTATATTCAAACTGCATTTGTGGGGCATTTTTAACGCTCGGCAAATGCCTAGTAACTGCCGCCAAACCACGCATGCGACGTTTGCGAAGCGTTTGCCGAGCGTTAAAAAATACTCCGCAAACGCCGGACCAACGCTTGCCAAACGATATAGGGCATTTGGCAAGCGTTGGTAAAAACAGTCAAGTGTGAACGAGCCCTTACTGTCGGGGACCAGAAAGCTCCTGATGTATACTTGCAGTCGGGAGCTTTCCGAACATGTGACTGCTGTGACTGCCAAACACAGTGGTCATATGATCTGAATGCCCGCCTCTGCCTCCCAGCATTAGAACCTCTTAAAGGGCTGGGAGATGGTGGTGAGTTAAGTACAGCTACACCAATCTGGTCACCCCTGCTGCCCACAAATTTTTGGTATCCTAACACCAATCATGCACAAAGGGAAAAAAAAAAAAAAAACTGGATTTTTGCTTGTAAATGATTGAATAATTGATGTGAGCACAGCTACACCTTGTTCACTAGTCTAAGTAAACATGTTCTTTACAAAGTGCTTTACAAAATGTGAATCAGGCCCAAAGGAAAACCTCTCATGATCGAATCATTATTGATGGCCTCCTTCTGAAAATGCTAGTTGTCTGGCTGCCAAGCTAAATCTCAGGCTTGTGTACTTTAAATCATTCCATAGAACAGTATGCTGTGAGAAAATTAACTATAGTCTGTATTGCCATATTGCTATATTGCTTTCCAAACTTCATTTAGACAAGCTGCAAAGTTTATTCTTCAGTGACATATCCATTTAATTGTATTAAAACTTTAGTTCCAAAGGCTTCAATTTAGAGTGGAGGAGCAGGACACAGTTACATATGTGAGCTCATACAATTCAATTATGGATATAACAAAGTTGATTATTTTCCATTAGCAAATGATATTAATAACAAATCAGTTACATGAAAGTATATGCTTAGTTGTCTTTTCTAAAGTTCTAGCAGTCCTGAATCCCAGAGTGTTCTTGTTTGGACACATGTGTGTAGTCGTAAGAGCTGGCTATCCTTCATACTGACATTGGCACCTTTTTGACCATAGGCACCAATAGTGTGGTAGTCCAGTAGAAAGTTCAGTAGGGCGTGTTCCAATGCTCCTAGTTTTAAGGAAACAAATATAAAAGCACCCCGTTGATTTAGGTCCACCAGTGTCACGTATGGGTGTCCTGTAAACATGTGCATGCCGTGAATTTTTGTTTAGTTTCGGACACATTAATTCATTGAAGAATTTTCTTTCATCACATTCCTTATGTTGAACCGATTTGTTTTTTAAATTCATTTCATATCTTCAGCATTTGTTTTATCTATTTGTTGGTCTGAGTGGACACCAAAAAATTTAGCAGTTTTTTTTTTTTTTAAAGATTGCTATATATTAATTTTCGGTTTCGAGATATTGGGTGGATTAGTTATTCAAATGTTGAAACTAATGGGAAGGACTGGATATTTTCAGACGCAATGGGATTAATAATGCAAAATTCGACAGCCCCAAATTTTTCAAATCTAAGAATTGCAGACTGTGGAACTGAACTGACTGACTTTGCGAATTACAAATTTAATTTATATCACAAATTTACTTGAATCCAAATTATCAAACTAATTTGAAAATTTAATTCATTTACCTGTGGACCCAAAACTACTATTGCATCATGTGATGTCATCCTAATAAAACAAATGAAACAAATGCATTTGTTTTACTTTTTTGCGGATTCGTTGGCATTCATTACTATGTCCATTCGGAGATTCGTATACATCCATATCTCCAAAAATCAAATTTTGCCTCCGAAAAATGATTTGTAACAAAACAAAATCACATGTCTAGTTGCCTGTTCTGACTAGGGGCAGACTGACTAACCAGAACTTGGTAGCACCAGCTGGGGCTAGACAGAGGAGGCACAGAGAGCCTCATGGAGTTGCAGAAAGTCAAAGGACACTGGGGAGACTGGATACCTACTGTTAATATAGGCAAAGAGTTTGCCCATTTGTTCAGCAAAGGCAAGATCCCATAGAAAGGCCAAATCTCAGGGTCTAAGGAGACACATTTTCTTCATCAGAGTTCCCCAGTAGGTGTCATGGATTTTGCTGTTGATGACTCCCAGGTTGTAGTCTTTGCAGCGATCAGAGACTGAGTACAGGTATACAGGAGGCTCTTGCAGCACAAGGCTGGAAACATAGAGGTGATATAGTACAGTCTATGGCAGGCGGGATTCGCCATAGAACAACCGGCTGGAGCGCAGGTTTCACAGCAGCAGGATACAGAATAGAGTGCATGGGTTTACAGGAGCAGGATACAGAATGGAGTGCACGGGGTCACTGGAGCAGGATACAGAATGGGTGCACGGGGTCACTGGAGCAGGATACAGAATGGAGTACATGGGGTCACTGGAGCAGGATAAAGAATGGAGTGCACGGGGTCACTGGAGCAGGATACCACATATGGAAGAAAAATATAATTTGAAATATGTTTTAAAAATATTCTTCCCAAATATATTGACATATATTCGAAATGCTATAATTTTGGTCGTCTTAAAAAATAAATATAATATATATATATATATATATATATATACATACACTGCATGTTGAAATTTGTTTTTATTACAAAATATATGAAAAATATTTTTAACCACTTCCAGACTGGACACTTTTACCCCCTTCCTGACCAGGGCAATTTTCAGCTGTCAGAGCTATCACGCTCTGAATGACAATTGCGCGGTCATGCAACACTGTACCCAAATGAATTTTTTACCATTTTTTTTGAGACAGATAAAGCTTTATTTTGGTGGTATTTATTCACCGCTGGGATTTTTATTTTTTTTGCTATGTAAATGAAAAAGTCCCAAAATTTTGAAAAAAAGTGTTTTTTTAATAAAAAATTTTGCAAATAAATATTATTTCATCATAAATCTTTGCCAAAATTTATTCCGTTATTTTTTTAGTAAAAAAAAAATCCAAATTAGTTTATAACCAAAATTATATATTATAAATTATAATTTTTAAACATTTTTTTTACATTTTTATTTTATTTTTTTATATTATTATTATTTTTTTTTTTTTACATACTGTCACCCTAGCAGTACAGTGTCACCATGGTGACACTGTAGTACTTGTGGGGGTTGATGAAGATTTTTTTTTTTTTTTACACATTGCTTTTACACCCATATGGGATGTAAAAACAATCATTTCTCTTTCTCTCTGTGTGCATTCCTGCACTCATTGAGAAGTACTGAGTGAGCTGTGATTGGTCCCAGCTTGTCACATGGTACAAGCCTGTTGTGAATAGGCTTGTACCATGTGACCTCTGTGATCATTCACAGATTTCACACGTAGTAAGCAATGATGTCACAAGTTTATAAACAGCCACCCGACCCTGCACTGCCACCGTCCGGCCGTTTATATGCAACGGCCGGTCAGGAAGTGGTTAAGAATACATTTCAAATATACTGTATGACTTTAAAAAAACAAATCTACATTTTTGGAATGCATTTACGAGTATATGTAAAAAATATATGTTAAAATTACTTTTTTATATGTAAAAAAAAATATGAAGAATATATATTTAAAAACGCATTTGAACATGCAGTATATATATATATATATATATATATATATATATATATATATATATATATGTATATATATTGAATATGGCCAGAATTGTAGCGTTTCAAATATATGTCGATATATTTGGGAAGAATATTTTTAAAATATATTTCAAATATATTTTTCTGCCATTTGGGACAGGCTGGAGTGCACAGAGTTAATGGAACAGGATACGGATTGGAGTGCATGGGTTCACTTGAGAAAGATACAGACACTGGAGACACTGGAGGTTACTGGAGGAAGAAGATATTGAGGATCACAGGGGACACACTGCAGCAGGACATGGGAGAACAGAAAATCACTGGAGGGACACACTGGAGAG